TCACAGGGACTGTTGGTAGCTGTCTACAGATACAACTGAAAGATAGTCTGAGGTGATAACTTGGAATTAAACCCTTGCTAGAGACCCACTGGTAAGCCAGTCACTGCCTGCTCTAATTTGAAAAGCATCATTTTGCCTCCTGGTAAAGCTCCCACTTTCTATTCAGGTGAGACCACCTGGAGCTAAATAAAACCCCAAAATGATAAGCATATATTCCATGAGACAGTCACAGGATTTTACTTTGATTCCTGAAGAGGCACTGAAGGTAACTGTGTGAAAAATGAGAAAGAAGGACTAGAGATTCTGGGTAAACCTGAAACACCAGTTAAGGCTAACCTTCATGACTACAGCTGTGAAGCAAGAGCCTAACTACTAAGGCAGAATAACTTGTTCCAGTGAACATTGTTAAGACATGTTGATGGGTAAGGGAAGAATAAAAACGTTCATCTGTGAACCCAATCTTGTATCATCACCTCATGCTAGTTACCTGAAGCCAACCAGAAGCAACTGAGGAACTAGCGTCCAGGTCTGGATACAGTCAGTATTATTCTTATTTATTATTCCTCTGTCGTAAAAGAATGGGCTAGTGTCACCAGTGATACTGGGCACCAGGAGGTGAAGATCCTCAAGGATCTTCCTCAAGGATCATAAAGAGGCACTGACTGGACAGAATTAGGGAAAAGAGGGGGGAAAATTATATTATAAAATATATTTAAGCAGCGATTCAGCCCAATAGATCTTTTTGTGTGAAACTGGGATGTATAGCACTACTCAACAGTGGTTGCATACCTCCAGCATTTTCATGAAATGTTCATAAAGAGAAATGGGAGATGATCTTGAGAGGGACTGAGCAAAGAATCTCCAGTTTTTCTACATTACATCCATTGTCTGGAAAGATTCAAGCACGGAGAAACAGACAGTTTCATTGGTGTGATTTTTCCCACAACTGGTAGCTCAAAGTCTGGATGCTCAGCAAATCTGAATTGTTTAAAATTTGAGAATATCAAGTGTTTCAAGGCAACTATTTTCAGTGTCTGTTCTGAAGCATAAGGAGTTGATTACTCAATTAAAATTGACCTTAAGTGAAATACAAAAAGAGGCTGTAGAAACTAGTGTTGATCTCCAAGTACTAAGGAAAGCAAACTAGTCTGGGTGGATGAATATGTTATGCAATGTAAAGACATTCTGAATCCTTGGCACATGTGAAAGCCTTGTAATACAAGTTTCTAAAAAAAGTCAAGTATGCTTCCTGTTAGCTGAGAGGAAAAAGGCCTTAAACAAGCATGTTCAAAGCGCTCCTTTGAATAACTGTGGTTTGCATCTAGGAATACTGCATAAGTACTTGCTGGACAAGAATCAGAAGAACTTTGAGAGTATGTGTAAAGCTGTAAAAGAAAACCCCAGATTACACATTTGGTGTTGCCTTCAAGCGTTCCTTGAAGTGGGCATTTAGTAAATCTCCCACAGACTTGAAGCAAAGCTCTCTCAGCTAGTAGTAAAGCTCCCAGAGATTTGAACACAGATAGATTAGTAGGTGGGAAAGGTGTAAATTTCAGTTTAAAAAAAGAATTCAAAAAACATGCCACTGAAAATACATGATTGTATGACAGGTCAATACAAGTTGTGCATATATGCATGAAACTGCACCTGTAAATGTGTAAGCTTTTCTAAAACTTTGGGAGCAGCAGGCTAAAACATTTTGAGAAGTCAACAAGTTCTTGATTTTTAAATTAGCAGTAGACATTTTATCTTCTATTGGGAAGATCACTAGCTCAGGTCTTATTTATGATCGTATGACACTCAATTCAGGTCTTATTTATGATCATATGACTTACTTCAACATACACTAACTACAAATGTTTGGTACTACGGAATTAAAAAATTAATTAAAATAACCTTAGGCAGTAAATTGAGTTCCTTCATATGCTACTCAGAAGATGAGAAAAAGCTATAAAATGATCAGAAAATAGCCTCATCAGGCAGGAGTTCTTCCAAACTCCATCACTTTGCTTCTGCCACAGACAACTTGTGGCCACTTTGTCATCATGCCATGTCTCTTGCAGGGAGAAAAATCCCCTCTGCTGCCACTGCAAAAGACAGAATTCATCATGGCTTATCGTGGACTTCTCTGCCACTACATGTCCAAGGGAAATATTTACAGGACAAACACTTGTCTGCAATGGATGGATTAATTTGATAATGGGATTGAAACTCCTTTCTCAACTCACCCCTAAAACACATTGCTCAACTTGCTGTCAATGGCAATAGAAGCACCAGCTGGCCATATTCTGTATTCCCACCACACATACACACAAGCACCCCTTCACATCCTACAGGAGTCATCTTGCAGCCTCTGCACAAACAGTAGGCTCCCTTCTCACTGAAGATCTCACTTGGTTGGCCTTGTGTCCTCCATACACATCTCCTAAGCCTCTGCCTTTAAGGTGCTCTCACACCACCAAGTGCTAATGTAAAAGTGTTAAAACATAAGACATTTTTAACTATCATCATTTATCTGTATATTTGTAAATAAAGCAGAGGAGCTACTGATTTGTTACCACATGCAGTATCTAATTATTACTATAGTACCTGGAAGGAGTTTCACCAGTACTAACTAGTACTTGTCTAGATGATTTCTGGGAATGGGGCATGGATCCCATTTGAAGCAGGAGTATGGTCAAAATTACCTTCTGAAGCCAACATTTATGTAGATATTTTGGAAATAGTGTGTGCTGGAATCATATTCAATGGCCAGCTGGGGTGTAGCCACCTGTTTCAAAGTAAAAGGCAGCCCCCACATGGTGGAAGATGTATAGATGTAGTCATTGAGGCAACAAAAAAAAAACTTGTTCCTGACTTCAGGCAAGCACTATTGAACCAGTATGAAGAGGCTGCAGACTGCAGGCAGGGCTCCCTGCTGGAGGTGCTCTTTGAGTCATGACATTCTGAAGATGCTGAGAAAGTCTTCCAAAACTGAGACAGTGTAAATAGGAAATTTAGCTTTGGACAGGGCATGCTGTAGCATCCAGACAAAATAGCTGAAAACAGGAGAACTGAATATGACACAAGAGGGAAGATGAGCCTCACTGCAGGAAGCACTGCTTTGAAATACTTGAAGTGATCATAATGAGGTATCTATTAAAAAGCTTTCACTGAGTACGGTTGTAGTATCAGGAGATTCAGAAAGTAACACTGAACTATTTCAACACGGCTGTAGTTGCTAGTAATCAAAAAAATATGATTATGCTTGAGAAGGCAAGAAAGGCAGCAAAGACAAAGAAAATCCATAAAAAGACAACAGCCTGCGACCTTGCTTTTGACAGTATGATCACAGTTCCTATCTCCTTCTTTAAGATGTTACAGCTTAAAGGAATTATTTAAAGACAGCTATGGGAAAAACAAAATTAGGTGAAGCTAAAACACATGCCCTTGGTACATCAACCCAATCATGTTGCTTGAGAGAGCAACTTCTTCCAACTTCTTCCCTGCTTTTGCTGATCAGCTTTATTATCCTTTTCAGGTTTCCTGGGACAGGTCTGGCATCTCCTTGGGAACAGAGGTTAATAAAGGAATGTTCACCACCAGCTAGGAAGCACTTTCCAAGTGACAGCTCCTTCAGAATTTCTGCTTTGCATCTCTCAAGCTACGCAACCCTTTTTTCCCTTCAGGGTTAGTAAATGGCTCTGACCACATCCCAAAGCTTTGCAAATTTACTCTCAATTTTGAGCAAAAAGTAATCCTGTCTACAAGACCAATTTGCCAGTGCATGTCATTACAACCTGTATCACTCAGTCGTGCTGACTGCATGAAATAGGTATTTTTGCTGAAATTTCTTGCCCTGCATTTACTGCTGAGCCTGGTCCTGCTGAGGTTACTGGTGGTGAAGTGGCAGGTGTGCTCCTCCTGTGAGTCACCTCAGTGGCACCCGGGTAGTGTCGGGGCGTGTAAGCAGGGCTTCCGCCGAGCCCTGCTGTCCCTTGGGGCTGTGCAGAGGAGCTCGGAGGGAAGGTGCCTCACACCCAGCGCATTAAAAGGAGGCAGAAGCTGTAGGTTTTGTGACCGGACTTTTCCAACAAACAGCTGTTGCTGCCTGTACCGCCACTACTGAGGTGGTGCACGGACAGATCTTACTTCGCACTGAGCCTGGGGGTCCGCAGGGACAGGGGTATCACATTAGCAATTAGAAGCAAATCCACGAAACCCCTCCTGCCCAGTTATCCTGCTGCTGTGGCAGAACCCTGTTTTCCGCAGAGAATGGCAGCATTTCCCTCTTCTCCTCTGGAAAACGAGCGCGCGTCAGACTTCAGGACAGATTTCCCAGCTCTGGTCTCTCACCACCTGTAGACCCAGTTTAGCATGTCAGCTGCTGTAGGCCAGTACTCTATGTGTGAGAAGTTGTGGCTTGATTTGTCTTTTTTCGGTCCCTTTTTTGAGGAATCCCCTGGTCTGCCGTGGGACTGAGCTTTTCCCTGCCAAAACTCGCAGTCCCTGCCAGTGACTCCCTTTGAAGCCAAAGTACACGGCGGGTGCGGGGCTGGCAAACAGCCGAGGAACCCTTCCGGGGTGGGTTCGGTGACCGCGGGAGATCCAGCCGGGCTGAGTCACCGGGATGACAGCGTCACTTGTCACAAGCATGGAGAAAATCATGGAGCAGAACACCACGACATCCATTTAATAATTTGCTGCTCTTAATGAAACTGGATAATTATGGGCAAAGATATTGGCTATGGCATGGCTAATACTTCTTTTTTACTACTGTTCTTGCTGAGCAGGCTGGTGAGCGTTCACCTTTCCGCGGCGGCGCCGTTCAGCGTTGCTGCGAGGCAGAGACGCGCACCTTGCAAACAAAGCTCCCCCCGCCCCAGTGGTACCGCCGCGCCTCCCCGGCCCCGCTGCGCGCGGGTGGTTGTTGCGACAGCGGCGCATGCGCAGAGGGCGTGCGGCGGCGGCGGGCGGTGCTGCAGGGACCGGCGGGTCGAAGCAGGGTCGGGGCCTCCCGGGCCGGGCCGGGCGCTCCCGGGGGCCGGAGAGAAGTCTCCGAGCCGGGCAGGGCCGTCCCGCCATCGCGGGCAGCGCTGTGGGTGAGGAGCAGCGGGTGCGAGCGGGGTTTGTGTGCCGGGACCAGTCTCCGGTCTGCGTGAGGGGCTCGGCGGGGGCGGACGGGCGGGGTGTCGGTGTTTGTTGCTGTGCCGTGTCTCTGCGGGGGCGGAGGAGCCGTCACGGCCCTGCTGGAGCCGGGGCTCATGGCAGTGGGTCGCGCTGTTCAGGGGCTGGTCGTGCCGTGGGATCGATGTGTTTTGCTCCGGTTTTCCCCCGGGAGATGAGGGAAAAGGTGCTGCTGGGACCTCAAGTCGGTCTCGCCAGGTGTGGGCGTGGGGTGGGCGAAGGGCCTTCGGGGCTCGCAGCCCGCCCCCTCCTTGGAGCGGGACGCCTGAGCGAAGGGCAGGGCGAGCAGGTGCCTGCGGGATCCGGGCTGTGGTGGTGGGATTTGCTGCCTGCTGAAGTAAGGCCGGAGATTCTCACTGGGAGCTCTGCCTCTGCTGTTTTTTGTAGCTTTTTCATCTGGTTCGCACCAGACTGCTAAACGCGTAGCCGTATTAAGCATTTACAGACTGCGGTGGGTCTTGTGGTCATGCTGATGTCACCTGTATAATTCATAAAACGAGTTGGCATTCAAATCTTTCAGTACTGCCTGGCTTTTCTCTCCCCACTTATCTTTGTTTTTGAACTACAGTGTATTCAGGAAGTTTCAGCTAACTTGAGACACTTGGTGCTGGGCTGTTCTGTTAATTACACTGATGTTGCTAATAATATATAATAATGTTGCTTGTTTGCATTCCATAGTCTCTTTTCATTTTTGAATATGTTTTCTGTTGGAAAGTGGCTTAATGTTAAAAACTGATCGCAGAGCCTTTTTTTAAGCCATGATCATGACTGTTCCAGTGTAAGTGGTCCTGCTTACTGCATTAAGTTTCTGTAGTTTTATGTCCTGGATCTGTATTTGAGATACTGATTTGCACCTAAAGCCATAGGAAATGGTGGAAAATCAGTGAAGGAAAAGCAGGGGAGTAGTACAATAACTGCAAAATACTGTTGAAATAAAAGTTTCATAAGTAACAAAACAAGATTTGCTTCTTGTATTTTGTCTTCCTCTTTCTTGCCTTCCTACTTGACCCTCTTCTGCTTTTGCTTCAGTGCATTGCTTTGTACTAGTACAGATTTCACAGGGTGGTTGTTAATCTGAAACACGTTGCTTAAGTTTGTCTGTCTACCTGTCTTTGGGATGACTGCCTAATGGCAACAGGACCAAAGTCATAACTGCAGTGGATGTGAGTTCTCTGTGGTTTAGAAGCTGTGTATATGGATCACTTGAAAATTCATTAAATATTTTTCTCCTTGTTCCAGATGGAAGAGTTCATGGTTTCTGGTTTACGTAACAGCAGAGGCTGAATAGGCATGAAGGAGACTACAGTGGGAATGAAAAGTGTCAAAAAAGAAGAAATGAGTCCTACAAATGATGATGCAGTGTTTGGGACCATTTTTGACTGGGACTATCTCTTATGGGAAGTTCGTTTGACAATTATAGCTGCTGGTTTTTTAATCTACTTGGGAGTGTTTCTTCTGTCTCACTGGTTGTCTTCATGGAGAAGTACCACTTACCGTGCCTTGCATGCAAAGGAGAAGGTGTTTTGGAATATGGCAGTCACACGTGGTGTGTTTGGACTTCAGAGCTGTGTTGCTGGGTTATGGGCTTTGCTCATAGATCCCGTTTTTCATGCTGACAAAGTGTATTCACAGCAAAAGTGGAGTTGGTTTAACTGTTTAATAGCTGCTGGATTTTTCTTGCTTGAAAATGTAGCAGTCCATGTGTCCAACATTGTTTTTAGAACATTTGATGTGTTCTTGGTAGTTCATCATTTGCTTGCTTTTGGTGGCTTGGCTGGTCTGGTAATTAATGTGAAATCTGGACATTATCTGCCTTTGATGGGAATGTTGCTGGAGATGAGTACTCCCGCAACGTGCATTTCCTGGATGCTTCTGAAGGTAAGAATTTGATAATTTTCAGATTACGTTTGTCTATCAGTTTTCGTGCATTTTACTTGTCCATGTAGGTAATCTGTGTGGTTTGTCTGGATAACTTCTCGTCAAAACTGTGTTAATCCAACTGATATCCGTGTTATTGCCATACCTCCTTTTGTAGTGATGGTATTTCTGCAGTCCTCCATATAGGTTTCTGTGTGGTGCTGTGTGCATGTGCACTGTGAGATGGTATAGATGTGTACTGAGTTTGGGATGCCATATATATGTGGAAAAAATGCCTGAGAGCATGTGTTTGTGAAAGCTGGATATTTGCATTAGTTGTACAGATTCCTCAGTTCCTTATCTTGAAGTAACAATCTCACTTCTGCATACTTTGTGTTCTTGTTTTTCTAGGCTGGCTGTGCTAACACCTTTTTCTGGAAGGCAAACCAGTGGGTGATGATCCACCTGTTTCACTGCCGCATGATTCTTACTTACCACATGTGGTGGGTGTGTATTTTCAATTGGAATTCTGTGGTAGAAAACCTGGGACTTCTTCACTTTATTGTTTTATTCTCGGGATTATTTGCCGTTACACTAATACTTAACCCATACTGGACATACAAAAAAACTCAGCAACTCCTCAGCCCAACGGACTGGAACTTTGAAAATAAAGCAATGGAAAATGGAAAATTAAATGGTGAAACACAACAAAAGAAGAGGATATAACACTGAAGCAGCAGTTTCCTAGTGGGGTAACGCAAAAGTACAATGCGAAGTAATTCCTTGCATGTCAACTAGAAACTTTTGCAAGAAGCTCATTGACACAGTGATTCGTTGCTGGTAGCATTCTGTATGCATCAGAAGTATTGAAAAGCATTGTTTGTGTTTCATATGTGCATACACATTAGAACTTCACCCTGTTAGTTATGAATTATGCCAACAGTTTTGTCAAACTGGGCAGTATTTCATAATTTAGTAGTGACATGCTCCCTAATGGCAGCCTCTGTCCTAATGCTTCAAAGTGGCTTCACAGTTGTCTGTTAAGCTCAGCTTGAATCAAGTTTAGCTTGAATTGTATTTCACATATGGCAGAGATGCTGATACTGGAGATTACGTTAAGTTGTTTATTAAGATCAATTATGACCCAAGTTAGGTATGCATAGATACCTAATTCCTGTCTGCCAGTGAATCATTCCAAGTAGCTGAGCTGGTCAGTGGAAGAATGCAGTCATAGCATAGGTTTCATTTTTGTTATTTGTTGGTTGGTGGGTTTGGTTTTTTTGTCGTTGTTTTTTCTTTTGTTTGTTGGGTTCTGTTTGGTTTTATTTTGTTTGTTTTTTTTTTTTTTATTTCAAGTTCACTTGAGGAACAGGAAGATAATTGTTTGAGTGTTCACTGTCAAAGTGAGTTGTAGTTTCAGGTTGCCCTCAGTATAGGAGGAGTTTGTATTCACCAAAACCATGCATGTGGGGATGCACACATTTGTTTTATGTGTAGACTAGCTAGGTAATCATAGTAATCCCTTCTGGAATTGAAATCAATGAAATACAATTGGCAACAACAGGATGTGATTCTGCTTTGTCCTTCAAGACTGCTGCTTGATTAGTAAAATTATTTTATTTGTAAACTCCACTAGTTCCATTAATGCTCCTGTTCCTCTTATTTTTGGAAATGCACTTAGTTTTAGAGGATTTTAGAATCTGAGATGACTCCTCTGTGTAGGAAAGCCCAGGTCACCTCCTGTAGAGTTCAGTTGTTCTTTTAATGTTTTGATTTACCTTTGAAGAGCATACAAAATGACACTAACAATCTTTTGTACTTTATCTGTCACATCACAAAAATCTGTCCTTGACCTGAGTAATTTGGTTCCTTTTTAGATAGGGACTAATGTCAATGGATGTTCTCCCACTTAAAATATTGGTCTGATGATTCCTGGGTGAAGTGTTGGGAAGTGGATTAAGGGATAAAGATCATGATAGAAGTGAGTGACGCCTAGTGGCAGGAGAATGACAAAGATACTACTTTTGGTGCACAGAACTAGTAAGATAAAAAGCCTCTTAATTGGAACTGTGTGTGATACAACTGCTACACAGATTTATTTTGCAAAGCATAAGACTGGGCAAGTGCAAACTGTGAAGAATTTTAGGTCAAGCCATGGGTTAGAGACTTAGTGTACTGATCTGTGGTGGAGCATATTGTTTTAAAAGTGTAAGGAAAGCACTCTTTGATGTAAACGGTCCCATTTTATTAAGTTTTAGTGGCAGTGTCTTTGATTTTGTTCTAAGTGAAGGGAGGAAACTAGTGGTCAGGTTGTTGTGTTCCCTGATTCACTCTGTGTGAGCACAGAGTTGAATTACTGCTCTGTGAGGGAGAGGAAACGTGTTTCTATTAGGTCACAAATGTATAGCCAGATCCTGTTGATAATGATGAAGTGGTGAATGTCTGAAATTGCCCATTCAAAGCTATGCTGAGAGGGTGACCCTCAATAGAGAGGGCCAGTTGTTTTATATAGCAACCCTGTCTGTTATTCTGCTTATACTCAATAGAGAACTTGGAGCTGTCTTCTTACTCCTAAACTGGGCAAAATGAGGTTGCCAAGACACTACAATGTCACCTCTCTGGGCACCATCCTATAGTAAAAAGAGTTCTCTAAAGCTTGAAATGATATGCCTCTCCTGAGGATTTGTGTGGGGGAGAGTACTGTTGTAAGTACTTTGGAAGAAAGGAGAGAGATGAATTCCTTGGAAATGGAACTGAAAAAATGTGATCTGAATGCATATGTAGCAGAAACCAAACCTCACTTCCAGGAGTTCCAGGGAGAAAGGCAGAGGGTAAGTCACCAGTGACCAGGTATGGAAATGATGGTGTGCTCTATGAAGCTTAACATTTGAAGGTTTGGATTCAATAAAACAAGGTAATAATTGTAAAAGTCCCAGCTACAGGATTCTGAAGAATCCTAACAGAAAATGGAAGCATCAGAAGTAGTTCGGGCCAGGTGTGTAATTCTTATAGTGGCTGGCTAAAGGAGGGGAAATTCTATGTGCTAAAATAAAAAAATATGGAGAGTGGGAGTTAGTAGTGAATTTGTGACTGAAAAAAGGAGACAGATGGAAATTTATGCCATGGTACCTGATGTGTAAAGTTTAATATTTTGTATTATTAATTTGTTTAATTTTATTAAGTGGCTTTTACATATTTCATTAAAATTATGTTTTTATCATCATAATGCAGTCTTTTTAGCTTGCATCTTAGTGTGAGTTTTTTCATGCAAAGAGCATTATGGAATATCTTAAATCTTTTGCATGTCTTAACTGTATAATGAATAATACCTCGGAACACCTGTTAACCTAAACACTGGTAGACCTTCTAGAACAAGAAAGCCATGCAATAAAAGAAGTAACAGCACTCATTTATGTTGGTTTGCTGGGATTTTACAGGCCAGCTAGAAATACAACATGACTAAAATAGACAACCTTTCTTCTTCATCTTGATGTCTTAGAGTTGGAGTTACCGGTTCTGTTACACAGAGCCTCTTTTTTTATACTACAATATAAAAAGACCTTTTACAAAGGTGTGTAGGGATTGGACAAGGGTAATGGGCTTTAAACTGAAAGAGGGAAGATTTAGATTAGATATTAGTATGAAATTCCTCACTATGAGGGTGGTGAGGCACTGGAACAGTTTGTGCAGAGAAACTGTGGATGCTCCGTCCCTGGAAGTGTGTTCAAGGCCAGGTTGGATGGGGCTTTGAGCAACCTAGTCTAGTGGGTGTTATCTCTGCCCATGGCAAAGGAGTTGAAACTAGATGATCTTGAAGGTGCCCTCCACCTCAAATAATTTTGTGATTCTTCACTGCCTTTTGGCTGCTTCCTTCAGGAGGATTTTCTGGTTTATTATTGTGGATGACTGTCTTATTGCTCTGAAACAAGCCTGAAAAAGTTCTCAAACTGAGGGTTTTGGTGTCTAATTACTTTTACAGCTAAGTACTGCTTTTCAACCCAAAGTTAGACTAGCCATAGCTTGCTTGTAAATTTTGTTGATGTGAAACTAATCCCAGTCCCCTTGGGCCTCTAACTTGGCCTCATCCACAATCCCATGTAGAAAAATTCACAGTCAGCTTTAGTAGTGGCTGGATCAGGTCACAAGGTTTGCTGCTGTGGATTTGGAAAACTCTTGCATAATATGATTTCGGGTGAATTTTTTGTTTGCCAAAGTGACTGTTGGGGACTTGGTTCTGCATTCTTGTTGAACAAGCTTATTTGAAGGAGTGCTGTTTGAAGCTTTTTTTTCTAAAAACCCACGACAACCCAAACCAACAAACTATGGTGGGGGTGTTCGGTTGTTCGGTTTGGGTTTTTTTTAAAGAAAAATGTCTGATCTAAGACACCTTGATCAGGCATCTGGTTCTTTCTGTCTTCAAACAACATTCCTAAATTACAGTTTGTGTTTTCCTCCGTTTGTGTCCTATCATATGTTTTTTTCCAAAACTTGTCATCATTTCCCCCCAGCCCCCCAGTTTTTCTATAATATTTACTTGCAGTACTGGTCATGATCTTGCAGCCTTCACATTACCATGGCAATATTTTTGTCTAGTAGTTTTCAGCATTTCCTGTCAGGCCCATCTTTCACTAAATAGCCATGTCCAAATCTTTCAGGTTTTTTGCGTTTCCCTGAACACATTGATTAAATATTGATGTGATGTACAGTTATAAGAAACCTTTTTTAACCTCAGGGAGACTTACACTTAAAATGAATTTAGAAGTATTAACCAAACTCAAGTCTGCTCTTATACAATGTAACATTTGCTGAATGATACAGCATCTTTATGCTGTGTACATAAATAAAAGTATTTTATTGAATAGCTGTCTACTGTGAGTTTAATTTACTGATTAAAAAATGCCTATTATGTTTTACTTGCTATTTGTAGCTTAAACAGTTTTTGCAATGCATGCACTAAAAAAATTGATTTGTTTGTTTTGAAGTGTTCTGCTAAAGTTGACAAAGATATATCATACTTTTCAAATACCATATCTGTGGAAATAGCTATAAAACCTAGTAAACTAATGTTCCTTCACCAGCAGTTAACATATTATTCCCATGAGCTTGTTCAGAACACTAGAAGTTGTGGTATATATAAGTATGTATTAAAAAGAGTTAAAAAAACATCCCTTCTGGCTTGTGTATCTGAAGTGTGTGGTCCATTTTTGTATTAGCCTCTAACTGTGAAGACACTTCATTTGGTACCACATGACACACCATGGTTTAGTATGAACTACCAACAACAAAAACAACATAAACACAAACAAACACCAAAAACTTTTCTCATTGCAAAAAAATACAATTCTAAACATTACAAGTGTGTGTCTTGCATCGTGCTTTGCAGGAATTCCTGATGCTTTTTCAGCATTGTTGAGTTAAAGGAACATAGCATCATTACTGGCATTTTAATTATTCTTATAAGAATACACTGCACAAGCAACTGGCTGGCTGCCTCTGCACTGAAGTCCCCCAGATTAATTGAAGCAGAAGCGAGACATTCATGTGTACAGCTCCGCTAACTGGAATGTGTGTGGGTACAGACTGGGATGAGAAGAACAATGTATAATAGTGTTTGTATGACTAAAGTCCCTTTTTTTTTTTGGTAAATAATCTGTAAAATTAATTTAAATGTTATTGATTTTTGCTATTCAGGTGTCTTCAATTAAAAGGTCAAATTTTACTTATTAGTTCTTACTATATTTCCCAAAAAGTATTGGAGTACACTTAAGCTGACAGTGTTATCAGTTACAATCTTCTGATCTTGTGTCATGGCACTGGTACTTAAGTTGGAACACAAAAATACAAGCAGTGGTCATTAATTAAGTAAATTATGCCTGTTGCTGTAGTTTTCAGCCCCTAGATGGGTTTCCAGTGTTGGAAGAAATGCTTCATGCTCTGGATCTGATTGACTAATTAGTGTGTTCTGGTAGTACCACAGAGCAGGAACAAGTGTTTTTTTCAGCACATTGTGCCTTCCTGTTTTCCCAAGCTGAGCAGTTGACGAATGAGGTGGAATGACAAACATAGAGCAAACCTGTAAGAACACAGCTGTCCTTGTTTATAGCTCAAGATGGCAAATGGCAAACAGGCCAAGCTTGAAAGGAGTATTGCCTGCTCATGTGTCCACAAATAAGAAGAAAGCATGGAAATTGGCTGTACCATTGCTTGCTGCTATTGTGTGTATGTTCTGATGAGTCAGCTAGGGTCACTGCTGAGTCCTTAGGGATATGACCTGAGCAGAGAGTGGAAATTTAATATAGCTTTATCAGATGCATTACTTCTGGTCTGATATATTTATTTCCTCATATGATTCCAGGTTCCTCTGCTTCCTTGACTTCTTGGCTCACATGAGTATGCTGTAAAAGCCAGCAGTGTTTTCACCAGTATGTCGCCTGATACTTACTGTGAAGACTTGTGAGGTTTTAGTACTGGTAGTTGATTGTGGCAGCTCCAGGTACTTGGCCTGACTTCTATATTGCTCCATAGATCTGCAACTTCTCTCTCCTGCTTTGCTGCTTCTGCTGCCAAAAGCAGTTTACCATGTGAACACTGCATTTTGTCACCAAAGCTGTGTTCACTGAAATTTAAGCATGGGAATTGCACAAAGCAGGCTACAAAATATACCTGAGAAAGGACTAATTTTGTACAAGGTAGAGGGTTGACTTTCCTACGTTTCTGGACCTTGCAGTTCTGTCAGGATCTTGTAAGCATAAATCAAGATTATAACTGCAATACCTTAAAAAACAAAGCCATGCAGGCAAACTGTAAAAATACATAGAGTGCTTTTGCATGGCAGTTTGCATAGAGTAGGCATAGAGCATCTAACGAGAGTTTGCTCATCTTGTTTTGTGGGTCATATTTACATGAAGAAAGTGTATCCTGGAAAGCAGCAGTAGCCTTGCTTAGGAGTCATAAGAATTAAATGCAAAAAAATAACTGGGGGGCTTTGGGATGAGGTAGCTGGGACTGGTTGTTACGTTGTCCAACCAGGTTTCAGTTGGACATTGAATATGTAGTTTGTCCGATGCTTTAACTCTTCCTTTTTTTTCTCAGGACCATATTGTTTTAAGGTATCATTGTGACACCAGTTGGGGCTAAGGTTAAGGAACTTGTTTTAGGACATCAAAATTCCCAAGCAATATACTGCCCAAGGCTGAAAGAACCTGAAGTCTGTTCTAATTTAAAGTAATTTATTCTTGTATTATCACTGCCTTTTTATCTTATGTAATTATTTTTTACCCCTGGAGACTTATTTGCATCTTCATGACTACAAATCAATCTGCTCTTTTATTTTCCTAGCCATCCTAATACTCTTTGTTTGTCATTTTTCCCTCCTTAAATTCCTTTTCATTATATGTTAGCAGCTTAGAGTTGTCCATAGCATTTGATATAAAGTCTTCCCAGTATCTTGTATTACACTAGTACCTCCTTTCCACCCCTGGGAACAGCTCTACTTTGGCCAAAGGCTGCATTTCAGGGTTGCGTGACCTCAGGGCTTCATGATCATCTGGTGAGAGGAAATTCACTTAAGTTTTTCCCTTCCTCAGCTTCAGAATGAAACAGAACCATCAGAGCACAGCAAAATAACTGAAAGTAGGAATTTTGTGTTATAGAAACATCTTGTGCATATGATTGTATGGTGCCCATGTGTGGGCAGTGGGGGCTGCAGGGGGCTTTATGAGGAGAGGCTGGGGCTGCCCTATGCTGGACACAGATGATTCCAGGTGGCTCTGACCTACCACAGCTGAGGAGGGACACCCTGGAGGAAACATATGTAAGAAAGGACAAAAATACTGCACAAAAGTGAAGAGCGAGGGGAAAAAAGTGAGAGAAACAGCCCTGTGAGCACCCAGGTCAGTGAAGAAGGAAGGGGAGAAGCTGCTCCAGGTACCAGAGCAGAGATTCCCCTGCAGCCTGTGGAGGAGCCCTCGAAGGAGCAGGTTTATCCTGAAGAACTGCAGCCTGTGGGAAGGACCCACAGTGAAGCAGCTGAAAAATGTAAGGAGGAGGAAGAAGTACAGGGAGGAGCTGTTATAGACTGACCCCAGTTCCCATCCCACTGTGCCCCTCAGGGTGGGAGAGGCCAAGGACTTGGGAATGAAGGAATGATGTTGAGCCTGGCAAGAAGATGGAGTGGAGGGGGGAGGTGGTTTTACTTTTGTCTTTGCTACTCACCATCCTGTGTTGAGTCTGTTTGGCCCATGACAGTAGTTGCTAAGGAATCATTCTGACCCACACGGTTTCCATCTTATTTTCCCCCCTTATCCTGTTGACAAAGGGGAGTGAGAGAGTGTCTGGGTTGGGGTCTCTCTGCTGGCCAGGGTCAACCCATCACAAGAAGTTAACTTGTACTGGTATGCTCAGAATTGA